TGTCTCCATTATTAAGCACAATTATTGGTATAAAAGAGGCTTTCAATACCCATTTTTAGACTGCATTCTAGCCTGAGCAATAAATCAACACTTCCGTTCTCTCTCCATCTTCCTCTTCCTTCCTCTTCTTCATTCTTTTTTTCTTTCTTTTTTTTTTCTATCTTAAAAAAAAAAAGAAAAAAGAAATGGATTTACACTTGGCAAATCATTGTTTCTTGTTTGTAGACTAAAATTCTCTTTAAAAGGCTCAGAAAGCTTCTTTGACATCAACTAACTTGTAAAAAACACCATTTTGATTATTTAAATAAAAAACACGTGGGTTAAATTTCTCTCAAAACACAAATGATTTTTAGAATGAGAGAAAATCATGCTTGGCAAAAGACAGCTTGAGTTTTATTGAACCCAGAAAAAAAAATAATAATTAACATGATAAACTACAACCAATCAGCCAATAAGTGGCACTACTGTCCTTTTACTTACTCATGTTGGAAACTTTGATGTCATTCTTGATTACTTTTTTTCTGTTACCCTTTAATATCAACAAATAATTAAGTCTTAATTTTTAAATATGTCTCAAATCAATCCACTTACCTTTAGTTCCACTAGCACCACTCTAGATCCAAGCCTGAATCACCTGTATTATGGAAACATGCTTCTCTCCAGTTCATTCTTTATAACACAATAAGAACTTTATAAAATTCAGGCCAACTCAGGAGTTTCAACTTAAGTAGGTTCTCAATAAAATGTATACTCCTTAGTATGGGTCTCAAGGCCCAATCTCATCGCTCACCACATCTGATATAATCTATTTTAGCCCTTCTGGACTTCAGTGCCTTGAACTTCCATACTTTCTTTTCCCCAGGGAATGGAATGCTTTTGGAAATACAGCTTTCTCACCACTGGAAATATTTATCCACCATCAACCCTTGACCACCCTGTCTAGAATTATTCACAATTCTTAACCATTCATTCTCTATTGGAAGCACCCTATTTATTCCCCTTTTAATACTTTTACTTGACTTCTGTTTCATGAACTTGAATATAATGAAACATAAAATAACTAGATCTGTCTTGTTTGCCTTTGGGTCCTCATTACTTAGTACTGTGTTTAGCCCATAGAAGTCATTTAATAAACATTTTAATTAAGCATGAACTAGATGACTACTTAGTAATAATAAAGGCAGATAAAAGAACACTAAAAGTCACTTCCAGCCTTAAGATTATACAATTATATTTTTCAACTATAACATCAAACCAGCTAATGGTAATTAGAAGATAAATCTTGTCTCTGTGATGACGTTTTACCCATTGTCAACCTCTGCACTAATAGGATATCAGTAAATGAAAGGAACTATTTTATAGAACTTTCTCTTTTGGCCTTTCAAATTTCTAGTCTGTCTTTTAATTTATGTTGTATTACACTTTCTTCAAATATTTTCAGTTGCAATATTTTAAAATCTCTGTTTTGTTTTCTATTTTCCCATTTTCAAATTATTTTGCTAAGTTATTTGTCTTCTTCCTTCATGATATATTTTTCTTTTACTTTTCTCTAAAAACTTATGTGGCATCAGGAAAGAATGCTATGTGTGAAACTTAATGACAAATTGGTACTCCGCATCCAGTGGAACTTTACAGAGTTGAAAGAAGTTTCAAAAATTGGAAAGATAAATAGTACATTTTTCATATTCTCTTTTCAGTTATTTCAGGGCCACTACTGATTAGGGAATTTATGGGGAACATGAGTGGCACTGAAGCAGCATTCTAGTTTCCAGTGCCATCAACCTAAGTATCTTTCTGGTCTCTGTACAAAGCTACTGTAATGTGTTCTTGAAGTCAACATGTTTTATGGAAGTCTCTGTATTTGCCCCTTTATGTCAATTAACCTATTGTAAACCGAGATAAATGGGAAAATTAAAAACCTGTTTGAATTATTTTTAATGCACAAGTATTTTTTCAAATGAAATCTTATGCAGAAGTTTGGTATATGAAACAGATAAAATAACTAATGAGATTGAAGGGAGTGACTGGAATGGAGTCCTGCCCACTCTTTGGAGAATTTGAGGCAACTTTATAGAGCCCTTAGGAATTCAGTGTAAATGTTACTGGGTAATCTAAAGCAGAAATTTTAATCTGACTGCACTTGGGAATCATCTGAAGAGTTTTGTATTGATTTATTTCTAATACTGATATCTTGGTCTCTCTCTTCTCAAAAATGTCTCCTGTGGGGACCAAGCACATAGATGTTTTTTTAAAAAGCTTCCCCAAATGACGCTAATATGCAGCCAGGATTGAAAATAACTATCCTACACAGCAGTTTTCCTGATTCTGAGAACTCAGCTTTTCATTAGTTTTCCTTAGGGCAGGTCCTTCTTCTTATTCTGGGTCCTTGTGTTTCTTCTGAACCTAAAATTTCTCCATAGATCCCAGGATTTTCAAAATTTCTCATTTTCCATTTTCTGTCCTTTTATGTTACCTACTTGAAAACTACTGTCATCTTTCAAAACAAAACACTACCTGTTTCTTAGGTCTTTATTGTGGGCTTGTTATTCCTCAATACAAATTTACATAAAGTAATAACAAGAGACGGGCCTTGGTGTCAGAATTAGTTTCTATATATACATATATATATATATATATATTTTTTTTTTTTTTTTTTTTTTTTTTTAGACGAGACAAGTCTCTCTCTGTAGCTCAGGCTGAAGTATAGTGATGTGATCTCAGCTCACCACAACCTTTGCCTCCCAGGTTCAAGGGATTCTCCTGCCTCAGCCTCCCGAGTAGTTAGGATTACAGGCACACGCCACTGCACCCGTTTAATTTTTGGTATTTTTAGTAGAGACGGGGTTTCACCATGTTGGCCAGGCTGGTCTTGAACTCCCAACTTAAGGTAATCTGCCCACCTTGGCCTCCCAAAGTGCTAGGATTACAGGCATGATGAGCCTCCACGCCCAGCCTTATATTTCTTTTTCTTGTTAAGAAAAAGAAATATAAGGCTGGTAAGCTATTTCTGCAGCTTACCAGCTCTAGACAAGTTAAAGGATAGCTATAGTCTTACTACACAGGATCATTATAAGGAATCGGTAGAGTGATCCTGATAAAGTGTTTGCATGGTACCTAGCACAGAGAAAGTGCCTGAAGTTGCTAACTGTTATGGTTACAAAATATGTAAATGATTTTTATTGTTCAATTTTATCTCTTCACATACACTAAATTGTTCTAATTCTTGAACCATAAAAATGACATGTGAATGACTTATGCATTCAGTGAGTCCACTCAACTAATATTTTTTAAGTACCTGTTATGGTCTATGAAAGAAACTGGCAAGACAGTCATTATGACAGTCATTATTCCCCTTAAATATTCCCAAGTGTTAGTGGTCAGTTTCTCTCTGCTGAAAATGAAAAGTACACCATAGAATGGAGGAAATCAGCCATCTTGAGGGCTAAATCTGGTCTAATATCATATTGGTTGACCTGTCACTACAGTGTTGCCACATATGTTTTATTGGTTTTTTCTTAGCCCCCAAACATTTTAAAAATTAGATAATTTTATGTTAAAAGAAATTTAAACTTTTAGCTTCTCTTGAAAACATGAACTCTGACAAACATTGTAATTACAGAGTAGCAGAGGTAGAGAGGCCCTTTATTTGGGGCATGTTTTCTGCAGGTTCCCACGTCCTGCTGTTCTCTGTTGTCTCCTTATCACTGAAGCCAAATATCAGTGGCTGCATTTGCACAGTTGTTATTTTTTATAGTGAAGTTAAAAGTGAACTGTTTTTATATCCATGTTTCTACCAAAGGTAAGAAAACACAAGCCAAAAAGACACAGGTTTCAAGAAAAATAGGAGAAAGCATAATTCTTTATGGAAGTGAATAATATTCTTTGTATCTAAGAATGCAAAAAAATGTGTATTAAAAAATACAACTTAAGATGCCATTATGAATAAACTCCAAGCCACTGTTTACTAATATCTTTTCAGTTTTAGGAAGGAGGTAGGTTTGTCTTGCATCTCACTGGATCTCTTGTGCTACATATTTCCTGAAATACCATAAGCACTTTATGGTATTTCAAGTATAGATAAACACGAAGAGTTTTACAAATATAAGAGATAGCAGAAACTCTATCCTCTATCCTTTACCTGTTATAAAACAAGAGACCTAATACTCCTCATGTTTATCTATCTTACAAATATAAGAGATATGCAATAAACATGAGGAGTATTACAAATATAAGAGATAGCAGGAACTATTTAATATTAAAAGACATCAAATATGCATACTAAGTGTAATAAATGTAATAGATATTGCATTTTACAAATATAAGAGATATGCAATAGATAAACATGAGGAGTATTATAAATATAAGAGATGGGAACTATTTTAATATTAAGAGATCAAATATGCACACTAAGTGTAATAAATACAATAATTGTTTTCCTTCTTAAGAAGATATTAAGTAAATATCTTAATCTTACAGATTAAGATATTTACTTAATCTGGAGGCAGAAATACATGTTGCGTCTCTTTCTGCTTCATCAAAATGTCAACCAAGTAATTAGGATCTCTGAGAGTTACAATAAGAATTACAGCCTCATGTTTAGATTTTTTTAATTTAGATTTTAAATTATTCCTTCTTTCCACTGATACTTAGTGAGGAACTGCTATAATCCAGGTACTGTGATAAACACTGGCAAATGTTGGAGAGCTAAAAAGGTATATTCCTCTTATAACGACATTATTTGCTTGTAACAAACAAGTAAATAAATGTATTAGTCAATATGTAAGTAAACAAAAAAGTAGACAAGCTCACATTATATTAAGTACTATGTAGGAAAGCAATAGAGCACTGTAACAGAATAATGAGGTATATGGAATGGGGGTGGGAATCTTCAGGGATGATCCACTTGAGAATGTAACATGTAAGCAGAGATCTTAATGAATTGTGAAGAATCAACCTTTCCGAGTACATGGAGTAGGCACCTCCAAGAGAAAAGCATATGCTTGGCTATTTGCTTATTGACATCATCTTGAACAAGGATTAGCAATCTCCTACCTGTACCACAGATGCTATGTGCCACCTCCATGCTACCTTTGCCACCAAAAGATTCAGTGTGATGCATGATTTGAAGCAGATAATAGGTAGTTTCCTCATCTTGATACCCTGTGGAAAGTAAAATCAGTGACAAATAAAAGCAGATAATCATCTCAGAGTCTGCTAAAGATGATAGTTGCTTGTCAGTACATCAGTATCCACCCTAGAAGAAAAACACAGAAGAGGTGGGTTTATCTTCAGTGTACTCTCACTTCCCCTTCCAAGTCCCTGTCCTGCCTTCTGATGCTCTTTCCCGCAAGTTGCAGGCAAATAAAGCATGTATATTACTCTCTTTTTACTCAGTTTCTCCTTGTCCTTATATGAAGTAGATTCCAGACCTCACAAGCGTATATGCCTATCTTTCTACTCCAATCCCTCAAAAAAGGCGGCAAGAATTAAAGAAAGAACAAGAGGAAAAGAAGGAAGGAAGAGAGGAAAGAAGGGAAAGATGGTTCTGAATATCCCAGTCTGGGGCTGAATAAAGTCATTTATTAAAATTCTTCAAGACAGAATGAATGACCATAGCTAATAATACACCTTAAGCTTTTCTAGACTATTTCTATTAAAAAGAATTGATTGTTACTGATGTATTTTAATCTCGTAAAATTTCAGGAATTTATTTAAATGAAGAACTTCACAAAGGGTAAGAAAAATTATATACTGGGGTGGTAGGTTTCTCGTCCCACCTGTCATTCCATCTTTTCTAGGACAGAGGCAGGAATATTAACTGATCACTTTTAAAAGTTTGATGATGGACAATAAATTTTAAAAAATAAACAACCCTGATAACCTATTCTGTGTTGGGTGTACTTTGGGCCAAATGAAAATGCTATTAGTTGGATTTGTTTGTTCACTTGCTTTCTTTAGAAAATAAATTTAGTGTCACCTTTACATATGTAGGGTTTTCCCTACAGTCCATTCCAATTTAAAAAGTTCCCTGCTAGTGCACCAGGGATTGCAATTATAGACACTTCATTGTTTTGCGGCTGCTAAAGCAGTTAGTATCTACTAGAAAATAAATATAGAACAAAAGGGAAAAAGGAAATATGATTATGGAGGAACCTGAGAATTTGGAAATCTATAAGTGATGAGGTAGAATGAATCATAACACAGAATTTACTACACAAGGAGGAGCAAGAGCAAATAAGAAATACATAGGAATTGCTGTTGAAAATCAAAGCCATCATTTGTTGTGGTAAAATTACTTACTTTCTGCTCCAACCAGTTACAGTGGTAAGGACAATATGCTGGCTAATATAATTTTCTTGGTAAGACTGTTATTGTTTATATAGAAATTGATGTAACACCTTTGATTCCTTGTGTTAAAAAAAACAGATTTTAACTTAAAGCACACATTTATCATAGTAAGAGAAAATTTTTTAAAAAATTGTCATCATGATTCTCCTATTGTGGAAAAATAAAATCTCAGGACCACAGTTCACTATGCCAACAGGAAAAAATTAAGGTGAATGTTGAATCATGCAAGAAACTGCTTTGCTTTTGTTCCTAAGCTAATAGCTACAGATAAAAGATCAGGTATCTCCATAGTTATATACTCTACGTTCACATTATGTAATGTGCCAATTTATTGACAGTGAGAAGAATACATAATTGACTATCCCCCAACCTGCTCCTTTTCTCTTGCAATATGTGGAGTCAGTAATGTGACCATACCCACTCTCTTTCCCCTCTACCCTGCTTTCCCCCTTTAAGTACTGAAGCCCTCAAAATCATCTTTCTAAAAATCTGGGAACCATAGATTGTTCCTGTGGATTTGTGTTTCTTTCTCCTGGCACATACTTAACCGCGACAAAATAGAATTCTAAATTGATTGAGACCTGTCTCAAATGCATTTTGGTTTACACTATCAAGGTTTGGAATCGTTAAGACGTGCCATTAAGGTATTTTATTTCTTTCTAGCATTTTGATTATAGTGAAATTAGGTAATTAGTGGTGCCTGTTTTTAGTAACATGGTAAGTAGAATTAAGAATGGAAAGCACTGGGAAATAGAAAACAAAAACATATCAAAGATTTCCACCTTTACTTTCTTAGTTTTTTTTAAAGAAAAATTTATTTTCTAAACACAAGCTAAAAATTACAATATTTAATTTGCTTTTTCAGCACAAGTTATAAATTATCAAATAGAAAATAAACAGTGAAAAGATTATATCATTTTTAACAGTGTTAAAGTTTTAGTTATACTCATTTGACTGGTTAGTACTGCTCTTATTTACTTATTCTTCAGACACAGTTTTATCCTTATACAGAAGTTACTTTAATTTTTTATTATTTAAGTTATCCTTAAAATACTACATGAAATGATTGTACCAGATACAATTTACTTAAATATTTATTCTTAAAATTACATTATTTTTAAATAAAATACATATGTGAATTTAACTCTAGTCCCCAAATGTGATCACTGTTAATAAATCCACTTATTATAAATAATATAACAGAAACAGCAGCAGCTTGATCCTTACCAGCTATATAAGTTTTCTTAGCCTGCAGTAACAAAGTATCAAAATCTGGGTGGCTTAAAACAATAGAAATTATTTTGTAATTCTGAAGGTTAAAGTCTGAAGTTAAGGTGTCAAAGCCATGCTCCCTCTGAATGCATCAGTTCTCTTAGATTTATTATTTCCTTTCCTTTGCTAACTTAAGGATTTATTTGCTCTTTCATTTCTAGTTTTTTAAAGTGGAAACTGAGGCTGCTGACTTGAAATTTTTCTTTCTAATATAGACAGTTTCATGGGATAATTTTTTCTTTGAGGATTGCTTTAGAGTGTTCCACAAATTTGATATGTTTTCATTTTCTTTCAATTCAAAGTACTTTCCAATTTCTCTTTTGATTTCTTCATTGATGCATGAGTCATTTAGCATGTGGCATTTTTAGAAAACTTTATATTTTGATTTATTTTAGGTTCACTTAGAAGTTGTCAAAAAAATACAGTTTCTTTATAACCTTCAACTAGCTATGCTGCCATAAAAATGAATAAAATTATGTCCTATGCAACAACATAGATGCAGCTGAAGGCCATTATCCTTAGTGAATTAACATAGAAACAGAAAATCAAATACCCATGTTCTCACTTACAAATGTGATCTAAATAATAAGCACACTTAGACATAAAGATAGAAACAATTGACCTGGGGGATTCCAAAAAGGGGAAGAAGTGGGCAAGGGATTAAAAAAAAAACACAACTGCCTATTAAGTACTATGTTCACTATTTGAGTGATGGGTTCACTAGAAAGAAGCCCAAACCTCAGCATTACACAGTATATGCATCTAACAAACCTGGACATGTACCCCCTGAATTGAAAACTAAAACACACACACACGCACACACGCACACGAAATTGCCCCTGATACAATATCATTAGCTATAGACTATTTGGATGTCATCAGTTTTACAAGCATTCTTTTTGTGTGCTCTATAAATTTTACTGCATGTATAGATTTGTGTAACCACCCCAAAATCAGGGCACAGAACTGTTTCATCACCTTAAAGAAACTCCCTTTTACTGTCTCTTTATGGCCATACCCTCATCAGAACCCCAACTTCTTCCAACCTTCTTGACATCCTTAAACATATTTCCTCATCTATGCAGTTGTTCGGGCTTTTTAAAATGCTATTTTATAGTTCAAATATTTTGTTAAGAAGAATCTTAGCTAGTATATTGTTTTGTTATGTTAATTTTTGTGTACTTTTTGCTTTGTGGATAATGAAAGGGATGTTTTTCTATTCTATTTTCTATCTTGTTACTGCTGGTTCACACAAAATTACTGGCCTTTCTAGCTCCTTTTTTTCTTTCTTTTTGATTGCTGTTTCTTCAACTCTTGTTTCTTTCTTTCTCAGTCTTATCTCTTTGTCAGAGGGAAAAAAATATGTTTTTCTTTTACTCACAAAGAATAGTTTTCTGACTTCTGTTTCCCCACCTTCTAATATCAGTCCCAGAAAGCCTCACCCACAATTAGTGGGCTGATCAAGGTAGTTTCCCAAAGACCAGTTTCTGACAGAAATTCTATATTCCTAAAAATTTTTTAAAAGATAGTTTTGCCTAGAAAAACTGCATCAGAAAATTTACAATTATTTGATCAGAGACCTTAATAAAGGAAAATGTGAAATATTACTATCAAGCTAAAAGGTTATTTTAAGGCAGCAATAACTAAAATTTTAAAGTTTACCCTTGACAACTATTATAGTAGTGCAGAAAATTATTAGAACAGTGACTATTTCCTTTTCAAATTTTAAAACCAAAAGTAAAATTCTTTACTACCAAAATACAACATATCTATAATTAACCATAGAGAAGAAAAAATATTAATTGTATTAGATCTACTCCAATTTAATTATGAGTTATTTTTTAAAGTTGTGTCTTCAGCGAAGATAAGAATCTTACTATGTTAATGGCCCGTATGGAGAGACTGGAATAAATGATTCAAATAACAGGTAAAAGTCTTTGAGAGAATAGAACAAAGAGATGGGAGGCAGCTAAGATAAATGACCAGCTACAAATATCCTTGGTGGGAGGGTGAGGAGAAGGAGAATTAGTGTAGAGCTGAGAAAATAATAAAAGTGAACAGCCTAATTTTCATATTCCAGAGCACAGCATCCTAATAGAATTGAACAAGATAGGTTGTTGCAGACAATGACTAAAAATAATTAGATTAAAGGATTGTCATAGCTATCAGCATCTGTGTATGGTTTCATACTTTTCAACATAAGCAATCTCTATATGACAGGCAGTAATATTTTAGAAGAAAGGATGTGGGACCAGATATTTTGGGTTGGGATTCCAATTCCAGTACTTACGGCTAGTAATATAATGAGTGTTTCAGCGTCTATCTCAGTAAAATGTATATAGCAGTAGTGTCTGTTTCAAGGATTGCTTTGAGGATAAACTGGGATGATTCACAAAATGTAGTACACCTTCATTAGAATGTGTTAGCTGTGTTATTATCAAAGATAACCCAATGTATTGTCAGAAACTTTTTCAATTGAGATATAAATGAGATATGACTATCCTTGGCTTCCCCAAATGGCTCAGCTTTGCATCTCTCCCATCTGCCCAGGGCAAAACTGTAAATGTGTGTAAAAAATAATTAAGACAGAAACAGAATTTTTTAAAAACAAAAAGAAAATGTATCCACCAGGTC